ACCTTTAGCCCCCCCCCCCCCCCCCCCCCCCCCCCCCCCCCCCCCCCTGTCCCCCGACGCGCACGAAACTCCAGTCTTAAAATGTTGCTACAACGAGCGCCGCTGTGTTTACCAACGAAGGAGCCAGCCCCACAACATTCACAACAAAAAAAAAGCTCGATCAAGGTGGTGGTCATCACCTGGGCATGACGTCTATGGCATATGTCATAACGTGTTAGTGGCCGCAGCCACCAACGGTCCTCTTCGCTGCTCTACGGCCAGAGTCACCGACGGACATGCCAGGCAAAAATGAAATGCAAAAGGAAGGCGATGGCCCGGCACCCGCTTGGCGTGTCCATCCGTCCGCAGAAAAGTCTTCCAGGAATCCGTCTATTGCACCACGGATCGACAACCTAAACCGCTGACCAAGAGTCTTGTTGCGGAAAACTAGCGCTTCACCGCCGTTCAGCAGCCAGATCACGGTAGGGAAGGTCTGCTTGCGTCCACCGCTGCATCTACGGTATACGACAGGAGTGGTCCCTGTGTACGACCGCCCAGCCAAGTACCAAGGGATTAGGCCGGCCATACACACCATCCAGCGTGAGTCATAGCTTAAGGGCCGTAGGTTAAGCAAGACAACAGATCCCTTGTACCGAATTCCAAGCTTCTATTGTTGCACGACCAAGACGATGCCGAAATCAAACAATACATTTTCGGAAAGCTCTCGACGAGACGGTTCCAAAGGCGCCATTTCCGGCAACGCTACTCCTTCTGCTGTGGAGTAATCGAGCTTCGGAAATCGGTCCAGGGGGTGTGATATCCTACGTCATATCACCTGCGGTGTTCCATTGGTCCCACGCGGTTTCACTGGCCTCATTCAAGGCGACCGGCCTACGCGGTCTAACACAGGGAACCAATCACTTGTGTACCTAGGTTATGTGACTTTTTGCTGGGCACGCCCACGGCGTAGCACGGCTTATACCAATGACAAGTGCGTGCCCTCTCGAGCACACCAGACAGCAGGGTGTCCCAAACACGTAGCCAAGCCCCCTAGACTTGACGCAGCGCTACACGACACCTGTCTCGCACCAAGCAAGAACGGGCCTAATAGCCGTCCATATATAGTGCCAGGAAGCCTTGACACGCACCACACGAAGGAAAGAAAAAAAAAAAATACGAACCCCCGCCAGGCATAATAAACTATTTTAGGCTTGAAACCACCGCGACCAACGGCATTAGCAACGACAACGACAACGGCAATAGCAACATAATGTATCGCTGTCACATGTTGTAGGTCAGTCCACTTTGATGTTGCGGTAGATTTGCTTTACGAAGACGGTGCTGCCCATGACGCCAATGGAACCACACATGACGCCGAGTGCCGCGCAGAACAGCCCCCTGTCGACAAGAACCCAAACGTCAACGCAGCGCAGCGCAGCAAAAGCACAAGGCGACGTGCACAGCAGTCGTAGCGACGTGGCAAGCACGGGGAGAGGGGGGGGG